ACTCAATCTAGTTAGTGGTAGGACGACCTGGTCAGAACAGTGAAATAAATACTCAATCTAGTTAGTGGTAGGACGACCTGGTCAGAAGAGTGTGATAAAGACTCAATCTAGTTAGTGGTAGGACGACCTGGACAGAACGGTGTGATAAAGACTCAATCTAGTTAGTGGTAGGACGACCTGGACAGAACAGTGTAATAAAGACTCAATCTAGTTAGTGGTAGGACGACCTGGTCAGAACAGTGTGATAAATACTCAATCTAGTTAGTGGTAGGACGACCTGGTCAGAAGAGTGATATAGACTCAATCTAGTTAGTGGTAGGACGACCTGGACAGAACAGTGTAATAAAGACTCAATCTAGTTAGTGGTAGGACGACCTGGACAGAACAGTGTAATAAAGACTCAATCTAGTTAGTGGTAGGACGACCTGGTCAGAAGAGTGATAAAGACTCAATCTAGTTAGTGGTAGGACGACCTGGTCAGAACAGTGTGATAAATACTCAATCTAGTTAGTGGTAGGACGACCTGGTCAGAAGAGTGATAAAGACTCAATCTAGTTAGTGGTAGGACGACCTGGACAGAACAGTGTAATAAAGGCTCAATCTAGTTAGTGGTAGGACGACCTGGTCAGAAAAGTATGATAAATACTCAATTTAGTTAGTGGTAGGACGACCTGATCAGAAAAGTGTGATAAATACTCCATCTAGTTAGTGGTAGGACGACCTGGTCAAAACAGTGTGATATAGATTCAATCTAGTTAGTGGTAGGACGACCTGATCAGAAAAGTGTGATAAAGACTCAATCTAGTTAGTGGTAGGACGACCTGGTCAAAACAGTGTGATATAGATTCAATCTAGTTAGTGGTAGGACGACCTGGTCAAAACAGTGTGATATAGATTCAATCTAGTTAGTGGTAGGACGACCTGGTCAGAAAAGTGTTATAAAGACTCAATCTAGTTAGTGGTAGGACGACCTGGTCAGAAAAGTGTTATAAAGACTCAATCTAGTTAGTGGTAGGACGACCTGATCAGAAAAGTGTGATAAAGACTCAATCTAGTTAGTGGTAGGACGACCTGGTCAGAAAAGTGTGATAAAGACTCAGTCTAGTTAGTGGTAGGACGACCTGGTCAAAACAGTGTGATATAGATTCAGTCTAGTTAGTGGTAGGACGACCTGGTCAGAAAAGTGTTATAAAGACTCAATCTAGTTAGTGGTAGGACGACCTGGTCAGAAAAGTGTTATAAAGACTCAATCTAGTTTGTGGTAGGACGACCTGGTCAGAAGAGTGTGATAAAGACTCAATCTAGTTAGTGGTAGGACGACCTGGTCAAAACAGTGTGATATAGATTCAATCTAGTTAGTGGTAGGACGACCTGGTCAAAACAGTGTGATATAGATTCAATCTAGTTAGTGGTAGGACGACCTGGTCAAAACAGTGTGATAAAGACTCAATCTAGTTAGTGGTAGGACGACCTGGTCAAAACAGTGTGATATAGATTCAATCTAGTTAGTGGTAGGACGACCTGGTCAGAAAAGTGTTATAAAGACTCAATCTAGTTAGTGGTAGGACGACCTGATCAGAAAAGTGTGATAAAGACTCAATCTAGTTAGTGGTAGGACGACCTGGTCAGAATAGTGTGATATAGATTCAATCTAGTTAGTGGTAGGACGACCTGGTCAGAAAAGTGTTATAAAGACTCAATCTAGTTAGTGGTAGGACGACCTGGTCAGAAGAGTGTGATAAAGACTCAATCTAGTTAGTGGTAGAACAACCTAGTCAGAAGAGGGTGATAAAGACTCAAAATCTAGTTAGTGGTAGAACGACCTGTTCAGAAAAGTATGATAAAGACTCAATCTAGTTAGTGGTAGGACGACCTGGTCAGGCATGAAGGTTTCAACCAAAGTAGTTTTCGCTAGTGTTTAGATAAATCTACTTTCAGGGAAGAACTAACAGAGATATATCGATAACTGCGACGCTATTACAAGTAGAACTTCCTGTTCAAATCGATTTAAATGGTCGTCCAATAACAGCGTCCCTTTGAAACATGTAGTACTGTGTGTAATGTGATAGGAGTGATAACATCGAAACGTGGAATTATGTTTAATAAATAAGGGCTGTTTTGTATTTTGTATTTGTTATTGTAAATTGACATAACACACCATGCTGGAAACTGGAACATTTTAGTATCAATTTTCTATGATATAAAAATCATGTTTACGACATATAATACAGATAGCAAGACAGTTTATGAAATAGTGGCTCTTGTGACGTCCGTAGGGAGTAAACCGACAACTGAGGTAAACATCACACAGCGTAAATGTATACCAGCTTATCGATAAAACATCCTATTTTAAATAACTATTCGTTTGAAAAAATGTAACATAGTCCTGCAATAATGTGTTGAACACTGTACATAGAGCAAGCATTTGAGAAATCACGGAACCCTCGGGTAAGTGGAATTAGGTACAGTACTACAATAATACATGCCCAGGTACTTATACTAAATCTTCCTATACTGCAGTTTATAACGAAAGCAGAGCCTCGGGTTAGACAACAAAAAAAATCAACCCTCGGGTTGGAGATTTCTCTATCACACCCTCAGGGTAGGGGAAGATTCTATTAATACTGCAATGTCATTCCATTTCTGTCATATCTACCACCTGATTACTCTTCAAAACATTTCTACATTTATATACTGATGGTTCAAAAGATAATGATAAGGTTGTCGCGGCCATGGTTTCACAAGATGAAGCGTATCATTATGCCGGCTATCACACAACGCCTCAATATTCTCGGTAGAAGCACGAGCTATCTACCTCGCCCTTGAATATATTCAAACAAAGTAATGAGAACTGTTATCTATTCAGACTATCTTTCGGTTCTAGAATGTCTTAGCAATAGAAATATCGAAAATATTTGCATTCGTAATACATTAATACTATATCATGAACTTGCCTTTAACTTTCATAATGCTTTTTTTTGCTGGGTTCCTTGGCACATGGGAATACCAGGCAATGAAAAAGCAGATCGTGCCGCAAAGGAAGATTTATCGCTACTACCTGTTGGTTTTAAAATTCATTTTACTGATTTCAAACAATTTTTAACAGATCAGTGGCAGGAGGAATAGAATCAATATACTAGCAATAAATTGCACTCCATTAAACGTATTATCGGTGAATGGTCTCCATGCTATAGAGACAACCACCGAGACGAAGTTGTCCTTGCTTGTCTTCGGATGGGCCACTCTTTCACTCTTTTGTGATAATATACCCATTTAAGATTTCTAGCATTTGTCTTTTACCTTTTAGTTTGTTTGATGTTATTTCCTTTTTGGATCACTGTGTGTTTTATCAGTTGATGACCCTAATGACCTTTTATGTGTTGACGGGTCGTTAAGAATGTTATGATAATAATCCTTTTCAAAACGAAGCTTAAATGTTACATGACTTAAACTGGATAAATCCGCAGTTAGAAAAAATTATCAACAAAAACACCCAAGTGTCAACTATCTAGTCTCATTCCAATGTTGAGAACAGGTATATTACCTTGTCTCATTCCGCTGGTGAGGACAAGTCATTATGTCATCTCTGCCGTATATCAGACCATCGAAAAGCGTCTTTATGTCATCTCTGCCGTATATCAGGACATCGAAATGCGTCTTTATGTCATCTCTACCGTATATCAGGCCATCGAAAAACGTCTTTATGTCGTCTCTGCCGAATATCAGGCCATCGAAAAGCGTCTTCATGTCATCTCTATTGTATATCAGGCCATCGAAAAGCGTCTTTATGTCATCTCTGCCGAATATCAGGCCATCGAAATGCGTCTTCATGTCATCTCTACCGTATATCAGGCCATCAAAAAGCGTCTTTATGTCATCTCTGCCGTATATCACTACATCGAAATGCGTCTTCATGTCATCTCTGCCGTATATCAGACCATCGAAATGCGGCTTTATGTCATCTCTGCCGTATATCAGACCATCGAACAGCGTCTTTATGTCATCTCTACCGTATATCAGGCCATCGAAATGCGTCTTTATGTCATCTCTGTCGTATATCAGACCATCGAAATGCGTCTTCATGTCATCTCTGCCGTATATCAGACCATCGAAAAGCGTCTTCATGTCATCTCTGCCGTATATCAGACCATCGAAATGCGTCTTTATGTCATCTCTATTGTATATCAGACCATCGAAATGCGTCTTTATGTCATCTCTACCGTATATCAGGCCATCGAAATGCGTCTTTATATCATCTCTATTGTATATCAGACCATCGAAATGCGTCTTTATGTCATCTCTACCGTATATCAGGACATCGAAATGCGTCTTTATGTCATTTCTGTCGTATATCAGACCATCGAAATGCGTCTTTATGTCATCTCTACCGTATATCAGGACATCGAAATGCGTCTTTATGTCATCTCTATTGTATATCAGACCATCGAAAAGCGTCTTTATGTCATCTCTACCGTATATCAGACCATCGAAATGCGTCTTTATATCATCTCTATTGTATATCAGACCATCGAAATGCGTCTTTATGTCATCTCTACCGTATATCAGACCATCGAAATGAGGCTTTATGTCATCTCTGCCGTATATCAGACCATCGAAAAGCATCTTTATGTCATCTCTATTGTATATCAGACCATCGAAATGCGTCTTTATGTCATCTCTACCGTATATCAGGACATCGAAATGCGTCTTTATGTCATCTCTGTCGTATATCAGACCATCGAAAAGCGTCTTTATGTCATCTCTACCGTATATCAGACCATCGAAATGCGTCTTTATATCATCTCTATTGTATATCAGGCCATCAAAAAGCGTCTTTATGTCATCTCTGCCGTATATCAGACCATCGAAATGAGGCTTTATGTCATCTCTGCCGTATATCAGACCATCGAAAAGCATCTTTATGTCATCTCTGCCGACGTGTCAATGACATTACCTTGTAAGAGGTACATAAGGAATTATACGTCTTACAGATGTGCCGTTCAGGATCGGACTCGTTTATCTCTGTTAATACAAAAACGACCAAACCCATTTCCCTCTTCTTTATGGTGCTTGTTATACTTACCTAATCCTGGCCCCATGGACCTCGTCGTTTCGGTAACCAGTACGCACGGCTCACGTGACATGGTAGTCCGTGACGTATGACCTTTGTTATCGTCCTTGAACCATACTTCTACCGGCATCTCTGCCATGTTGTGGTAACCGAAGAAATCCGCGCCATCTGAAGAGGTTCGATGATTCATAGTTTTAAGTTTCGTGTAAACTTAAAAATCGGGTAACCTTTCTAAAGGGACTTTTGTTTTTAAATTAGCGACATACACGTATTAATTGAATTTTCAATTTGTTTAAAGAAACAACAAAAACGACGGAAACAATTTATTTCGTAATACAGGCTCATCATTGCTCCACCTATAAATATAAGAAATGTTGATTTGCCATATTTCTTTTTGGTTTGTATTCTTTCCCCTCGGTTACTGAATAATAATATTCCGAAAATGAAGTTTATTAAGACTTAAATCAGCTACATGTATACTTGATTGTTTGATATTAGAAACGGCAAGTTTTGCATTTTTGATTTATATAATTAAGATTTAAAACCTTTTGAACCTCTCAACTACAAATTAATTGTCATTATTTCTGATAATTAATTACACTAAACAGATTTAATAGGAACAGTTAGATATTATATGTACCTAAGAAACACGGCTGGGGCATAGGTTCCGTGGTCTGGTGACGTGTACAGTTCTTCCCATTAATCCTCCACTCTACACCCTGACACCAATAATAAACCTTTTAAACAACACTCTTAGTAACAACCGTATATATGTTGTATTAGCTCAATTAACTGTAATCAGAATGATATAAAATAATGTTACTGGTTGGAAGCACTCATAAGGGTATCCGAGGTTCGTGGTTCGATCCCCACTTGGAACGTTTCTTGGTAAGCCGATAATACAGACAGTTCTGTGCTTTACTATTCCTTCAGAAAATATTTTACACTTTTGCGTCTCCCCCATGAGTATCTGTGAGGTAAACCACATCCACGTGTACACGTGACACTGTTTAAGGGAACTAACAGAAACAGCTGGTACAAAGTTCGAGGTAGCTATTCCCTGCATCCTGAGGAAGCATTCCCCGATGAGTATCTACTCGTCAGTGTATTTAAGGCGATCCGAAAAATGATTAACTTAAAGGATGAAATCGGCTGGTATACACATGGCATAGGTATAACATTTGACTTTTGATCATAAGAAATGTTTGGGCCGCGACAGCTCAGTCGTAGCTAATGCAATATCAGGTTTCATTTGCTGGATTTATCTTCCCGTGAACAACAAGTGCCATATTGAGGCGGGGTCTTCTTTAGATAACAAGTGACACCACGCTGAACCAAATACAAGAGGCCTTACGCATGCCTTCCATAATAGTTAGAGTACAACGTCTTTCGCAGTTTCACGGCGTCGAACTACGCTGGATCTTCATGTGGGGGCACATAGACTAAGCCATTGCCCCTCCATTCCCTCCATCAGTTGCCAATCCATTGCGTGGGATTCGGTTTTTATTCAGGGCAGGTTGTGTTTCTCCAATCAATTTGGATGTCTTACGACGTCCTTTCACCAGCATTATGTTCAGTATGATCGTCACCAGTTATTACAAGCTGACCCAGCCTCAAAATGACCCTGCTTGGTCACATGCCGATAAACAGGGATACAAGGGTATACTCACTGAATGGAAAGAAAGCAAACAATACCTCCATAGACGATCGAGTTATCAGTACTGACCAGTGAAATTATTTCAAAGTTTATAAATTAAAATCGAAAATACAATACCTTATTAAAGTCCATGATCCTTTGTAAGTAAGTGCTCGAGTTGAATGTCGTGTTTCTTACGTCAGAGAAGATGGCCAATTTTTTCAACGTGTAGTCGTAATAAATGTGGCTGCTGACATTACGTTTGGAAGCCCCGGATGTAGCAGCGTTGTAAGCCCCTGTTTTTTGGAGCAAATGTGCCGTCCATTTTTCTGGCGAACAACATGGTTTTTGACCATTGGTTACCAAAGACATAAAAACAACAACTAAAACTACCATAAAGAAATTTGTCGACGCCATGATGTTCTGATCCAAATATTATCAATATGTTACCCTGTATGTGTGGAGATATCATATCGTGTTGTTATCTTAACAGAGATGTACAATATCGGTCTATCTAAAGTCCTCCGTAAATTACACTAGAGGAGAAAGATATTTCTCACTAGCCGAGAGATGATTGCGTGATATGGAGGTCAAATACGTAGTACAGAGATAAACCTTTTGTCACAATTGATACAGTATTACAGTAAATGTACTTATGTTCGATTTTCACATTTTCAATTTCTATGAGGATAGATAAATCTCTAAAGCAATTCATCGTACTTTTTACGACTTCGATGTTTTTTTTCTCTTTTCTTACGTGTTTGTTTTTAAAAAATCTGTTGTTACTTTAGTGTTTTGGTAAAATGTTGGAAATTTGAACAATAACATGAAAACACATCGCTTAAATTACAACAGATACATGTGTACCGTATGATGGTGGTCCCCGTATATTTAAACATTGTGGTGTAAGGGAAGTAATTCTTACATTCTTCATTGTTGGTTAAATCACCATCTTCTTCATCAAGTATTTCATAAACAAATAAAGCTCACGCGATTACGCACGGTCCGCGGCGAATTTATGATATTCATTGCACCAACATCGAAATTTGCTCTTAAAAAAACCCACACGTTCCATCAGTTTTCTAACATTTTGTCCCCATATTCGGTTTGTTGGGAACGAAATAACATTATACTAATTATGTACAATATTGTATATATATTTATTTAAAAATAAGAAAAAAAAAAAAAAAAAATGAAAGCCATAGATAGAATTCAGTATTGCGTAATAAAATAGACCACTGACGATCGCGTCTTCCGGTGTCGGTAAAGTTACATTGGCTAATACAAGTGTATAGTTATGAAAATTCTGAAGTATTACTGTGTGTACTTGTAATATGACTATATGTAGTATACGGATAGCACACAATTCTTGATGAAGATATTAACCGCCTACACTTTATGATATATTTGTCTTTGACCAGGCCATCGAAAACTACACGTCTGTGTTTCAATATATTTTCAGACCTGTGTTTCAGCATATTTTCAGTACAACCAAACCTCACACCTTCATTTTAGCATATACTTTCTGTAGAAAGGAAATTGCATTGTAACAATGTGAAAAAATGTGATTTTTTTTATATATATTCCTGTGTCAATTAATGAAGTCGTCATTTGTCCTAATTAAGTAAATGCGACACGGGCAGTAAAGCAACATTTGAAGAACTTTCATATAAGGGAGACAACTCTAATCTCGTTCGCTTATCCACCTATCTTTTCGTAAAGTTTTCAAGAGTTGATTGAGCAAGACTATTTCATCTAAAGACAGATATATATGGAAAGGAAGGTAACTCTGTCAAGTCACTTATTTTGATCCCCAAACTCTAGTCTTAAAAGAGCTCCGGTAAGGAAGAGCGATAGGTACGCTCTTATAAATTAAAACGATCATTATAATGGGTTACAATAACTGTTTAATAGACATCATAGATTTAACACCACACGGAAATGACGATGATCAATTAAGGAGTTAGATCTAGATTGCTCTAAAATCTCAAACATTATACCTTCCCACATTGTATTAAAGTTGTGTATGTTGATATCAAACTTGCCGGAGATTCGTCATGTAAAACAATCGGCTAGATCTCTCCCTACTTCGGATATTTCCACCTTGCCGCTATATGACCTACCTGTAGGTACATCTTCTTAGCATGTCAGTGTAATTTCCAAACCACAAACGACTGTCTTTTTCGTCTCATGCCACTTAGTTATCTAGTTCTAATTGCAAGACATTTTTATACATGCAGACATGTAGCTAGGGTCAATATGAAGCGTATTTACAAGTAGCATGGCAACTGAACGTCAATGTATGAGATGACTTATCTAAAATCAATATCCAAAATCTCATTAACACTATGACCTCCTATTAAGTGATTTTACAACTTCTTTGCAGGATCAAATGTAAAACGTTATCACATTTTCGTCCTTTTCACTTTCATTACTTTCTTTCTGAGTTCCGGTTCCGGTTAGACAATGTACGCTTCCTCGTTGTCCCCTCCATGACCTGCAGCCTTTACTGTTGCGACGGCTGTCAAAGCTGACGCGAGTATGTGTAGAAATCCCGCCAGAATATTTATTCCGAAGGGAAAGTTTACCGAATTAGTTCCGGCTGACAGATCGTTACCGAGAGAGTCGTACAAGGCCGCGAACACGAAGGCTCCTCCAAGTGAAAACAAACCTGCAACATATTGAGGGATGGATGTTACTAAAGCTTTGTACGTTACGAATGGACATTGATATACTCTAGATTTTGAGAGAAAAGCATTAAGAAGGCGTACTATACCATTCAAATTACAATTGGTTGCACTTACCCGCACCCCCGAGTAGATATATGGCAACCGATCGAATCCCTTCCTTCCTTACAGGAAGATACAGCACGTGCAGAATTATTGCCACAATACACAAAAAGCAGGCAAACACTTCGAAGATTCTGGAGATAAATAGCCACTCTGTAATGAATACAATCGCACGTAAAAGATGTATGTTAAACATTTGCAAATTATCATTATGCTGGAAATATTTAAGTAACACTTATCTGCTAGACGTCCTGCTTATGATATAAAACAGTATTATAATTGATATTTGTGTTAATAGTCTTCTTTGATTACATCAGAGTGTACCATAATATCCCTCAATGTTAATGACATCCATCGTTGTGATTTTCCCCCCGACGTTAATGGCATCTACCGTAGTGACCGTTTTTTTCGATGTTAAAAGCATGTACCGTAGTAAAAGTTTTTCCCGAAGTTAATGACATCTGCCGTAGTGACCGTTTTCCCCGATGTTAAAGGCAACCACCGTAGTAACAGCTTTTTTCCCGATTAATGACATCTACCGTAGTAACAGTTTTTTCCCGATGTTAAATGCATCTGCCGTAGTGACCGTTATTTCCCAATGTTAATGACATCAACCGTATTAACAGCTTTTTTCCCGATTAATGACATCTACCGTAATAACAGTTTTTCCCCCGATGTTAAATGCATCTGCCGTAGTAACCGTTTTCCCCGATGTTAAAGGCATCCACCGTAGTAACAGCTTTTTTCCCCGATTAATGACATCTACCGTAGTAACAGTTTTTTTTCCCGATGTTAAATGCATCTACCGCAGTGACCGTTTTCCCCCCAATATTAATGAAATCTATTTTAGTGACTGTTTTCCCCCAATGTTAATGACATCTACCGTAGTAACAGCTTTTCCCCTAATGTTAATGACATCTACCGTAGTAACAGTTTTCCCCCCCGATGTTAATGACATCTACCGTAGTAACAGTTTTCCCCCCGATGTTAATGACATCTACTTTAGTGACTGTTTTCTCCGATGTTATTGGCAGTGACCGTTTTTCAACTAGTCTTCAACTTTTTTAAGATTTGGTATATAAAAAAACAAAAGACAGAGCGTAAAACACTTACCGTAGTCCCCTTCGATGTTTACCAGCGACTTCGTTTCACATGTTGGTAGACATTCTACCGTCTGGAACATACCGACGGTTTTGGTCCTGACGACGGACGCTGCGCTGACATGCATGTACGACCACCAGTCGGGGTAGAAGAAAGTCATGTACTGCAAAGCCACAGAGACAACAGTCACTACTAAGGCTGCAATATCTAACACAGTCGGACGCACGAACGCCATCTTTGACTAGTTATACCAAGTTCGTCGTTTCACGGATAAATCCCTCCGATCACTGTTATACCTTTTCACTATTGTATTTTAGCGTTCCACGTTTTGAAAATATACTTATGAAAGCTGTACATGAAAATGTGAAAAGATATGTCGGTATAAAGCTCGTAGGGAAAACAGTTTTGTTTACATTCCAGTTCAACCACCACTCAATAAAAATAGATATATGAACTTATTTCCTTGAATCTATGATGTACACATCAACTACTTTATAGGATAATATTCTAAACAGAGTGTCCCTGTCCCAACTTCGTGACGTCACCCCGGATTTGTAAACATTTACACTACCGAGCTTACAAGTGGATCGGAAGCTGGGGTAGGCCAAGCTATGTTATACTCCTGTAGTCGCTGTGTTACTACATTGATCATACCTGCTTCAATCAATATTACAAAAAAGGTTCATAGGTCAAGTTACACTACATGAAAATATTACAAAGATAATCCCAAACGCATCATGTTGAAATGCATTTAGTCTGCTAATACATTAATCATTGATCGGAAACAGAGATTTCCTTCTCTTGGTCTTACACACTAGAGCTGAGCTAGTCTCGGCGAACCGGAAGTTTGGAAACATGGCGACAATGTCGCCGTTCATTCTTACTTTCCGGAGTATTAGCAAAACCGGAAGGTGTTAAAGTCTTTTAGGCAAAAAGCTTAAATATCACAACGGAAAATGAATCGGAATACCTCGTCATGCTTCTCCAAATACCACTCGGAACACCTACATATGTTGAATAATAAACACACACCAGAAAACATTTTTCTGGATGTTTGAGTCGAAATAAACATACCGTCGCCCTAGAATCAAAATGTTCTAAAGACCCACAACTCTGTTTCGAGAAAAATCAAAGTTGAATATTCAGGACATGTGATCATGTGTTGTTTTTAGAGCCATTGTTTTACCTTTACGTATATGTTCATTTTTAATCAAAAAATGATTAATTGTATCATTTGGATGTCTGAAAACAATTTAAACGTGGTAAAATAGACATTTCAATTTGGAGATAGAACATTTAAGTTCTGAATTTTTTTCAAAATATTTTAGAATCAAAATGTGCTTGGACATAGAACATAAATGTTAAGAGTTAAGTGGTTGAGTTTTTGAGACTGCACGGCGGATGCATGACCACAACAGGACGAGTTTTTTTTACTGGGAACCAATCGTCATTCTTTAATTGTTCGAGTGTCCGTGCTGTCTCAAACTTGACAATGTTTACATGATTTTGTCAAGTTTAATTGATTATAACGATTTCTCTATTATAGATGACGGACAGTTGTTTTCCTTTCACACACCTAAGTGTCGTAGTTTTAGTTAATTCAATATATACCACACAACACTCAGTTTTCTAAAATACAATTAATTACGCTTATTTTTCGGAACGAGTTTCATTAAATAATTAATACAAACTGTAATTTTAACAATAAAAAACAAATGCTATTTGCATTTTGTTGTGTAAATAAAAATATGAAAATAATTACACATGTATTACAAATTGTATTAATACACATTTGTTTCGATGTTTGCATGATCAAAAAGGAAACGTTTCAATGCAAAACACATAATTGAATTGCGGTTTTGGGGCACACAGGAATCTGACCAAAGTGTTATATGGTTGACATTACTATACACAAATTACATCCAGAATAGCAACTAAAGCACTGGCTATTTCATTGCCTCCTCTCCCTGCGATCCCTTCATGCCACATCGAATTGTAATTTTTTCTGTTCAGTGAACAGTGCGCTGTCAAATTGAAAACATTTAGTTTTCTTTTGTAGAAGAAGTTAGACACATTTGACCTTGGACATGTCATTATATTTTGCATATCAAAACAAATAACAAGTTTTTGTTTGTCTAGTCTATCGTTGTCTCTTTCCTTTTTTGTGTTCATTTTGTCGTCAAATTGATTTTCATATTTGGCACGCAAGTTGTCATCTGTTTGATTGTTGTTGCCTCGGCTTTGAACTCCTCGCAAATATCACATCTATCCTTTTTAGGAATATAGAGACCTATATTGAAGTCATTATTGAAAATGTGTCGGTAAAGGTATTCTTTTTGTGGAGCGCGACCTTCACTTTCACATTTTGCTTGATACAGGCGATACATTTTCGAAAGATTGAGATCTGCTTCAAAATACTCTTTCTGTGATGACTGACGGCAGTAGTGACCTGGAATTCTGGGAAATGAATTAATGTGTTCCTTTACGTACGTCAAATCTTCCTTTGGTATTCTTGATTCTGTACGCGTTCCTCGTTTATCGTTGTTTGTTTTTTCCTCTACGTTTTTATAGAACCACTCTATTCTTCTTTGACTTACATCAAGTGTAGCCAAATAAAATTCTTTACAGACACGGATTCTCTGATCTCCTTTCCAGAAATAATACCTGTAGCTGAAATTTCTTCTTGTTGTATTTGTCTTTGATCTTGTCCGTTCCTTTGCGTTTTTCTCTGTTGTCCTTGAATAGAAAACGTTTTTTTCTGCATAGGATAGATCCCAGAATTCCCTGAAATACACATGTCTTTCATTTGCTGTAATTTTCATAGAACTTCTGAATTTACATTTTCCTTCACAGTCTTTTGTTGTCTTAATTTTGCGTTCTGGTTTCTTAATTCCCTTGCTGTTAATGTATTCCTGTCCATGTTCACACCGTCTCTTTCGTATATTTCGTTTCCAATTCTCCGGGTCCTTTTTTCTTTTCCTACTGGATCTAAGAACAAGTTTAATCGTTTCATTCTGTTGTGTCTCGTCTTGGGTAGTTGTGGCATCGTTTGTGCCATTTGTGGTTACAGGAATTTCTTCTTCCGTTGAAACATTATTCAATGTATCATCATCGACAATAGAACCTTCATTTGTGACCATAAAGACATCATCTTGATTCCTCTGTTCAGACAGCCTGTTGCAGGTTATATTCATGGAAGAAGTACCATGTTCCGGGACCGAAGATTTGTCTGACGATCGTTGAATCGATTGAGATAGTACAGAATCTCCAGTAATTCCATGTAGCGCGTTTTCGAAAAGAGTATGCGTGGCAATGTTCATGGGGATATCATTGTTCGATTCCAATATGCCGTTTGTCTCATTAAAAGTTGTTTGTATAGAATCAAGCGAAAACGAAATGATGGGTTCCACCATTGTTTCGGTGCTACTTCCAATCGTATCGGCTTCACAAAGGGTATCTAGCAACAACAGTGCTTGTGTGGTATTCATAAGACTCATTTTGACTAGTCTATTTTTAATTTGCTATGTTCGTATTTGCTTTCGATCTGCCTGTGAAACAATCCCTTACTAACAGCATCTGGCAATGAAAGTTGCAAAAGATGAGGGAAGTCTAAATATTTGAGAATTTCAGTAGTGATGATGCAGGTGAACTGAAATAAAACAATATATTTGTTAATCACGTTTTAAGATACTTTCGGATGTATTTGACTTAATCATTGGCTTTACGCGTATGTATCTATCAATATCGGACAATAATGTTCTAAATCCGTTCAGAAGCATTCAGTAGTAAGGGGTCTTTAGAGACATAATGTTCTTACGCCATGGAAAAAGAAAATATTCCAGAGCCAAAATGTTCTAATTCCTAAACAAAACAAAACTGTTCTTATTTCTCTGTAAAAGCAGTGACTACCTTCTAAATTATATCAATTATCATTAACAAATATTTACCCTATGTTTAAAACAAAAAATAGGATTCTTAAATGAAACAAACCAATGATATTTGGCATGCAAATGCACCTACCTCCTCAGCATAGTTTTCTCTGCATCCATTTACGGTACCAATAAGTCATTTTTTTCAAAAAGTGGACTTAGAACATTTTGATTCTAGGGCGACGATACCGAGGAAAAAACCGCTCTCAACGTTTTGAGTCGATATGAACACAAATCGGGAAAATTTCTCTTTTGATGTTTGTGTCGATATAAACACACACCAGCAAAACGATTGTCTTTATGAACACCTACTTTGAAAAAAAAACACTCTCAACGTTTTGAGCCGGTATAAACACCCATCGAGAAAATACGTCTCCCAGAATGTATGTACCGATATGAACACATACCAACAAAACACCTCTCTGGTTGTTTAATCGGTATAAAAACATCTGCAAGCTTTGGTCAAAATAAACACATCGAGGAAAACATATATCTCCGTGGATGTTTGAATCGTTAAATAGATAGGGAAACATCTCTCTATGTTGAGTCGGATCAAATACATTCCGAGGAAAACATTATTCTGGATGTTTAAGATTTGTTTAAATTTCTCTGTGTGTTGAATAAAAAAAAAACCCTTTCTCTGTGTGTTGGAAACCAACTTTCTCTGTGTGTTGAGTCGGAGTAACAACATACCGGGAATCCCCTTTCTCTGTGTGTTGAGTCGGAATAACCAAAAACCGGGAATCCCCTTTCTCTGTGTGTTGGAAATCAACTTTCTCTGTTTGTTGAGTCGGAGTAACATAATACCGGGAAACCCCTTTCTCTGTGTGTTGAGTCGGAATAACCAAAAACCGGGAATCCCCTTTCTCTGTGTGTTGGAAATCAACTTTCTCTGTTTGTTGAGTCGGAGTAACATAATACCGGGAAACCCCTTTCTCTGTGTGTTGAGTCGGAGTAACATAATACCGGGAATCCCCTTTCTCTGTGTGTTGAGTCGGAGTAACATAATACCGGGAAACCCCTTTCTCTGTGTGTTGAGTCGGAGTAACATAATACCGGGAATCCCCTTTCTCTGTGTGTTGGAAATCAACTTTCTCTGTGTGTTGAGTCGGAATAACATAATACCGGGAATCCCCTTTCTCTGTGTGTTGGAAATCAACTTTCTCTGTTTGTTGAGTCGGAGTAACATAATACCGGGAATCCCCTTTCTCTGTGTGTTGGAAATCAACTTTCTCTGTTTGTTGAGTCGGAATAACATAATACCGGGAATCCCCTTTCTCTGTGTGTTGGAAATCAACTTTCTCTGTGTGTTGAGTCGGAGTAACATAATACCGGGAATCCCCTTTCTCTGTGTGTTGGAAATCAACTTTCTCTGTTTGTTGAGTCGGAATAACATAATACCGGGAATCCCCTTTCTCTGTGTGTTGGAAATCAACTTTCTCTGTGTGTTGAGTCGGAGTAACATAATACCGGGAATCCCCTTTCTCTGTGTGTTGAGTCGGAATAACATAATACCGAGAAAAACATCTTTCTAGATGTTTGAATAGATTATTTGGTT